ACAAATTCACCTCTGACAGCCTGGAGGCCCTAAGTGTGCATGTAAGCAGTGAACGCTCACTCCCCGAAGAGGAGTGGAGGGCTGTAATTGGAGACATCTACCAGTGCAAGCTCTGTAACTACAACACTCAGCTCAAAGCGAACTTCCAGCTCCACTGCAAGACTGACAAACATATGCAGAAATATCAGCTGGTGGCTCACATTAAAGAAGGGGGCAAAACTAATGAGTGGAGGCTGAAGTGTATTGCCATTGGCAACCCAGTTCACCTAAAATGTAACGCCTGTGACTACTACACCAACAGCGTGGATAAATTGCGCTTACATACTACCAATCACAGGCACGAGGCAGCCCTGAAACTCTACAAGGTAAGCCAGTGACAGCAATTTCAGTCGGCACCAAGTAGACTAGAAAATTAACCGTTTCAGTACTAATAGAACAAGACTGATTAATCGGCAGAATAAATGTTTATTGAACATGTCTACAATTAAACAAAACCTATGCAGGCTAGTCAGGGAGGAGTGTTCCCAATGAATCGTGGAGATTCACCCGAGGGCCCGTTTAGGATACACTTTCTGTGAACACGGGGAAAATTTTTTTTTAAAAAAAGTTCTCTCATAATAAATGACTAGAAGGGTTTTACATCTCTTACAATCCTTTCAGACTTTGTACATTACATTCTGATCAGAAGCTTGACGGAGATTATGGAGAAAGATGATTTTTCCATACAGTGAATAAGGAAGGAGATAACTTTCTGGCATATGTGCAATCGTTAATCTATCACAGCCAAGTTATTTTAATTTGGTATTTTCAGCAAGCACATGAAATATGCCATATTATTACCAGGGATATTCGAAAGTAAGCACTGTTATCCTTTTGTCTGCCCTTCTTTTCCTAGCCAGTAATGATTTTTCACAAACATGAAAGGGTGTGGTGGAGATAAATATGTTAGTAGAATGGCAACTATATTTTTATCTTTACTGGAAAAAACTATGTGGATATAATGAATATGTGGGAGTGATGAATACTATTTATTACACAACTTGTCATGACTTTTTCCAAACCCTAATTATGGGGTAACTTATTTTCTGCAGTGTGTTTACTGGATTGGCTTGATTGTCTTGGTTCATGTAAAAAATATAACACATTCATTTCCAAGATGAATAACTTTGTAACTTATTAAAAACTTCTTTTGTCTAGGGGATATAAAAATTCAGGAAATATTGCAAACCATTAGTCACTGTAACAAGCTCTAAATATGATTAGAAAATCCATTTTGCAAGTGTTATCTATTGATTTGTACTAGAAATCTGTGATAACTAAACTATCAGGAGTCATCTGCTGATTACAGCAACTATGCTGGTTTTCTAATCATGATGAAAATGTGTACACATGGAACAAATACAGAAAAGACTCAGCAGATCTCTAGTTTAAGCAAGAAATAATAATATACTGGTGTTCAACTATGTTCAAATGGTTGTTCTGAGCTAACACAGGGTGCACAGGCAGTAAAATGGATTTTCATTTTATAACCTGATAGTTGTAACCTTGGTGGATCAGCTATGGGCAAAAATGGCAGTAAAACGCAAGATCAAGTCTATTATATTGTTCCACAGCACTGGCTGATCTGCTAATTTAATAATGGGTTTTATTTAAATTGCATTTTTCCTTAACTCTAAGAGTTGGGTTTTTTTGTGCTCGTTTGTTGTTGTTTTTTAAAGATCCAAAGTCCTGTTTTGAAAAGTGCCAAAAGACCTGAGAGTCTAGTGACAGTTAGCCTGCCTCTGCAGCAAAACTATCTTTTGAAGTTCTTGCTCCTTGTCATCCATGAAATGGATGTTATGCTGATTATGAAGCCACCTTCTAAGTCAGGATTTTTAAATGATCTAAGTTATTTTTTTTTTTTTTTTTTTTTTTTTTTTTTTTTTGAATACTAACCTGGATTATTTCAATGATCTGTCTTGTAATGCCACCTTTCAGAGAGATGCTGCTGCAAACCCTATCACAGAGAGGAATGATAGAATGGGAGATAGGAAGGGAGAGGGCTTTTCTCAGACGACTTCACTACCAAAGCTTCAGACACTGTGAAAATAAGACACCAGTTGCTTATTTTTTAAATAAAGCTACAGGCATAGCTATGGAGTGGCAAGGTGCAAACTATCTACTCAAAACAGCACCGTCTCTTCACTCACTCCAATCCCTAGAGAAATCTTCAAATATGTTTGGGTTTTCAGTGTGTCCTACAAAACATCTGATTTAGCGTACTAAGGGCGTGAGTCTCAGCTCTTAAACCTCATCACTAAAAATGTCCTGTAACCGAGCTTGCTTCTTTGTCAGATCCTGGTTTGTTAGATTGAGCAATTCAGTAGCACCTGTGTGGTGCAGTTACCACGCATGGCAAATGACCCCCTAACATTTTATGTTCAGTCTGAATCAGGGTGAAGGACATCCCAGGGCAGAAGGAATGCATAAGCTCTTAGACACCCTCTGAGCTCCATGTACTACAGAAGGACAATTGAAAGTGTACTGCTGGTAAGCATAGGGTTCCAAGTCTCCTGATACATGCAGTTTTAAAGACTTGTCCCTAGGGTTTCTAGTGACAATCTCAGTTTTTTAAAAATTTCTGTTCCTCACGACTTCTTAGAGAAACTTGGAAATTTGAACCCCACTAGGCTTAACATCTCTCAGAAAGAAGACAGCATGTACATGTGCACACACAGGATTTTTATATAAGGCTAACTTGAAGAAGAGGAATGATTTATTTAAAATGTCAGTTGAGGTATTAGTAGTATTATTTTTTAAGATTTGTGGTTGGCAGCACTACGAAGTGTCTCAAATAATCAAAATTTTCTAGATGTGTGTGCTTTGTAACAGAATGTAATGCCTCTGTACATCCCCCAGAAAACTTTACTTTTAATTGTGGGTGTACATTCAGACCTCAAGGTGGAAATAAATGAGATTTTGAAAGTCTGTAAAGTTATTTGCTAGTAGACTTGATAGTTTTGTCAGGTCTTGGTGAAGCTGTTGACACTAAGAGAGTTGTAAACTTTTTTCTCTTGATATATCAGATAAACTTCTAGAGAACCTAAGGAAAAAAAGAACATTAATTTGTATGAATAATAGATATATGCCTTGGGAGTGATATCGAATATTCATGAATTGTGTTTATATTCAAGCAGCTCCTCTAACTCTTTTAAAATTAAGGTGCTGTGAATATGGTTTGGCAATAAAAACTTTAATACTAAAACCATCTGAAAGCACAGAAAAAGAATCTGTGACTTTGTTCCTTTGCTTTGTCAAGTACCTCAAAGTTTTTTCTTTAGTCATTTATATTTATTTAAATGTTATTGTTTTGTGAAGTTTCTTTTTATAATTGTTGCCGTAACAGCTTGATTTCTCTTCCTGTGCTTAACTATTGATGGAATAAAAGGATGTCTTTTCATAAGTGTAGCTTTTAAAGCAACCATGAACATCAGAGCTTCTCTTCTGAAGTTGTATAATTTTAGGCAGTACTGAAATGTCACTTTTAGAGTTAGATTCTAAATGTGGCAAAGTGAAACCTTTAGCTGTTTTCTAAGTTATTCAAAAAAGAAATGGCCTGATTGCTCCTTACAGAAATGCAGTATTCAAATGCTGTCAGTAATGGGGCTGCTAGGAACCAGAACAAAGACAGCCTTACCCCGAGTGAACTCAGCTTGGCCTAAATGAATTTCCCAAAGACTTACATTTGGAATTGTGGAGGTTGATATTAGCAAATTAAACCACAGAAGAGTTGCAAATCCTTCACAGCATCCATCAAGAAGCATTCAGTGACTCCACAAGTAAACAGAAAAAGCCTCTATAGCAACAGAGTGCATTTCCATTCTGCAGGAGGAAGCGTTCAACTTCTGCAGTTTTGGGAAGCTGAGGGGGGACAGTGATATATCTCTGTGGATGTAAAGTACATACTGCTCTTAAGGAAGCCATTTTGTAGCCTAGTCAAATAGCTTTTTGATTCAGGGGACCACATATATCATGTCCTGTGCTCACAGAATAGTTTCCAAATACTTTTAATAAATAAATAAAGGTAGCCTTTTTTGCAAAGTAAACCAGAGTAGATGAAGTTTTAGTTAACTGAAAACTGAATGACATGATCAATTTCTAATCACAAATAAATATTTGAAGTCACTCTAACAAAAAATATTATTCAATTAGCTGATGATAGTGTTAATAGATGATACTTTGATTTTGGATATTTTCTGGAGTTTACATCATATATGCAACTATTTATGAGCTCAGGGAAAGTGACAGGCAGCAGTTAGCAGACCAATACTCAGGTGTGTGAAAACTACCTTGGTTTTCCCTTTATTGACAAAATATTGATCCATAACACCATTAATGCTATGATTGTCAGTTCAATTTGGATATATCACTTTACCTCTTGTGTTCGCGAACGGTAAAGATATTACCCAAAAGGAGTGACCTGATTTCGGTTTAAGAAGGTTAAAGGTTAAAGGTTAGCTCAAAAGCATCATCTGCCTAGCTGCTTAACTTTAAACTGATCAATTTAATGAAAATCTGTTTTGCAGATGGTGTTTTAATGTCTTTGGCAGGATTTAGGCAGCTTTAACATTAGACGTATGCTAGTAAAAATTATTTCTTTATTTGACCAGAACAACACCTTTTCTTTTATGTTTTAAGGTAAAAGGCATGTGGGATATGGTATTTTGGCAAAGGACCCAGAAGCAGAAAGTGTTGATGATCTTTCCATATGGGCTCAAAAACAGAATACCCTTATGTCTATTGCTAACGATGACTGAAGAAACAAACAAAGCTGTATTCATTTTTTACCATAATGTTTTACTTTGAACCCACAAAAAAGAACTTCAGTCAGAACTGTCCTTGAAAAAGGCTTGTCTTCTTTGCTTAGGGTGGAATGCAACAGCATTAACATTTTTAACCTGGCAGAGCATGCTGATTGTCTCTTTCAGACCTAGTATTTGTAGATCAGCAGTATTCTTTTTCCTACTCACAAACCAAGTAGTAATTGTGTTACTTAGCTCTAGATACCATAAATAATAAGGCAAATTAGTCAATCCAAATGGTAAGTTTTATCTGCTGAAGGTTGTCTGAATAAACAAAGAATTAGATCCTCAGAAGTGTAAAGCAGAGCTTTGTGTTTATGGCTTCTTAGAATTTGGCCCTCACAGTTTTTGCCAAGATAATTAAGTTTCAGCACAAGCATGTCTTTCTGTTTTCAGATGTATGCAATTCAGTAAGAATTTCTTGGGCTGCTAATGCAATACTATTATATGTTAGCTTTGTAATTAGCTAGGACTACATCCCTTTGCTGAAATGCATTGTAATATTACACACAAGCATAGCTTGC